ATATATATATATATATATATATATATATATATATATATATACACACATATATATATACACACATATACATATACATATATACATATATATGTGTGTGTGTATATTAGGGATGCACGATATTATCGGCATAGTATCAGCCGATATTAGCTTTAATTTAGCGTTAACTTTGGGGCGGCTGTGGCTGAGTGGTTAGAGCAGTCGTCCTCCAATGCAAGAGTTTGGGGTTTGACTCCACCAGCAGTCACATGCCGATGTGTCCCTGGGCAAGACACTGAACCCCTCAATGCAGAGGGAAGAGGGAAGACCTGCTGTGCATTTCTTCAAAATTTAACAAGATAACCACCTAAAAACAATCATTTGTTTAATCGACTTTATAGCAAAGGTGTGTCTCAGTTGAACTTTTCCGTAATAAATGCACTTTAATGGTCAAATCAGCTACATTTTTCTTGGGCGGCGCGACGAAATGAAACTGAATTGACATTTGCTCCAAGAGTTCTGGAGCGTGACGAAGGTGGATTGGTATGGCAAGCCAAGTGTCTCATTAATAGCCACTTTTAGCTATTAATGAGACACTTGGCTTGCCACATTTGTCAAGAACCCTCTAGTGGCTGAAAATGATAGTGTTCAATATTTTCCATGTCAAAATGAATGAAATCATCAGATCCCAGATAAAAATTGGTTTATAAATATGTGGAAATAGCATAAATATGACTCTTTGCTGTATAAGTTGCAGGCATGCTAATTTATGCAAAAAACTTATGCACTGGAAAATACGGTACATGCAAAAATGGTGGACATGTGTGAAAACAGTGCCACTTCAGTTGTACAATGCTTGAATAATGTTTTGTTGTTGTTGCGTTGCCAGAAAGAGAATGATGGAGCCGGTGTTCTTGTTGAAAGAGTTTTCATTGAAAATCTGTATTCTTTATGTGTTTGCAGGTGCAAGATTTCGGACTGCAGCATTTGTTTGGAATGAGGAGTCTTCGGCTATTGTCTCTTGCAGGTGGGATTCATCCAATCTCCTTTTCTTTCTCTTGTATTTCATTTACATACAACTTTAATGTTGAAATAATAAAACTGAACCTGGGCTTGGCTGAAACACTCAACGTACAGTTGGTGTGTGAAAGTCAGCCCTGACTGAGCTCATGAAACAAACTGTTGCTTTTAAATCAACACATAGTCCAGGACTAATGAAGAAGTTCTCCTTCATCCACTGATTTTTTCATTTGACATAATTCATACATTCAAATCACAAAATAGAGCGTTGATGTTGATGCACTCCTTCTGCACGTGTTACTACAACTGTAGGACAAACACCGAGCGACTGGAAACCACAGACACATGTTTAGAAATTAAAACATACATACATGTATGAATAAATAAATGAGAGGATTTGGTAAAAATATATAGTTTAGATTTTAATTTTAGAGCAATTTTTTGCAGCTCTGGTTATTTTAATATGCTAACTAAGATCAAAAAAGAAGTAATGTAATTTAAAACAGACACGGGCAGCATGTGTCCTGAGGGCCACTGTGGTCGGATGTTATTTATTGATGAAAGGGCAGAAGTGGCTGATTGTTTCCTCTGTCTCCTCAGGCTGCCCCCTGCTGACCACCACTGGTCTGTCGGGCCTCATCCAGCTGCAGGAGCTGGAGGAGCTGGAGTTAACCAACTGTCCTGGAGCCACAGCTGAGCTCTTCAAGTACTACTCCCAGCACCTGCCCCACTGCATGGTCATCGAGTAAGACTGACTCATCTGACAGACCGCCATTCTTCAAAACCTCCTCCTCTCAAACCCTTCCTCACTAGTTCACCCAACCTTTCCTCCACTGCTCCTCATGGTCTGACCCCCTCCTCCCCCAGCACCCATCTGAACGGACCCCCTGCTGGCAGTGCGAGAGGCAGGGAGGCGGACGACGGTACGTGCCGGACCCAGAGGAGGGCGGTGTTTGGGCTTCATTTGAAATGCTGAAGTGAAGAGCTGCTGTGACGTCTTGTCTGACAGCAAGTTTCTGTTTCTAAATCAACAAACGCTTTGAGTTGCTGAAGAGAGCCGCTCTGAAGATGTTGATTTATTGTATCTTTTAGAGAAAGGATACCGAAGGAAGAAATGTGCAACTCCAGATGCAGCTTGGAAGAAAGAGACTTTTGAAGTCACACTTGTACACCACAAACACTCATCACCACACAGGATACGTAAAGTCCTCCAGACCTTCCATCTTCCAGTGTCAACTCACCGCAGCTTCACTCTTTCTCTCAGAAGGTCTCACAGGTCGCGTGGCAGCTGGACGAGCAGGAAGCAGTTCAGGAGGCAAAGAACGAGCGAAGACCGTCTCTTCTTCTGTGGTCAACATGTGCCGTTGACTCGCAGCTCTCACCTTTTCTCACTTCTGTCTTATCAAAACGTGTCAAAAGAGAGATTGGAAAAACTGTTTACAGAGTTTTGTTTTAGGGGAAGTTGCAAGTTTGTTTGATTTGCTTGATTATTGCTTTATTTAGTGTTTTATGAATTTTGCACATGTTCATTTGACAGCTGTTGTAAAACGAGGAGACACGATGGAGCCGGCAGTCACATGGAAAGCTCTGCAGGAAAAACAAACGTCTTCACTCAGAAGATGACTGGAGCAGAATCACAACACAAATAACTAATGACAGTTAAAAAGTGCTTTCTGTTTATCTCCTAACACGTAAATGTGTTGGTACCTTCTACAAAAATCAAACATAGCTGATGATACTAGGAACAAAAGTTTTGTCTCATCTGTCTCAGAAAGTTTAATTCTAACGTTGAATCCATTTTGCTGAACCGTCTGTGTGTTCTTCCATCATCAGGATTCAAATGGGACAGACCTCTGAAGTCAGTGCAAAGGATTCTGGGTGGTTTCCTTGACTCTTTTCTACCATCCGTCTGATCAACCTGGGGTTGCAGTTCCTCTTGCGTCCATGTTCTGGAAAGTTGTCTACAGTTCCATGAACATGATACTTTTAATGTCACAGTCAGCGTGGTCAGAGGAACAGGAAGCAGCTTGGAGATGGTAGAACTCATGACCTTTACCGTGCAACTCTTATTTTTTAATTATATTAAACTGAGCTTGTAAGAAACAATTTTCTTTTTTTCAGTTCTAATTAGTTTTTATTGTTCTAAATTATTAAGAAATATTAGTTTTGATGTAAAAACACCCCCGACAACAAAGTGTAACCTGAGAGCTTATCTTTAACCTTTACTGGACCAGCCAGTTATCACTGAAACTCTTTTGCAAGGCAGGTCTAAAGGCTGCCTAGTAATCAAACTCCACACAGAAAGACCCCAAGTCCAAACTGGGGATTGATCCCTGCACCTTTTTGCTGTGAGGCAACAGAGTTAACCACTAAGCCATTGTGCAGCTCAACACAAAAGTTAAATGTTGGTAATAAATAGAGCTTGCAGCACGTGGCCTGTGGCGTCCTTCGGGTTTTGTCTCACAGAGGACCAGCCGGCCCACAGAAAGGTGCGGGTTCAAAATTAATTTGATGGTGAGTGAAGAATTATTTTTTTTTTTTGTATTTGACATCAGTTTTAATTTGTGGTGAAATGTTTGAGAAGCAGTTCTCATTTACAGATGTGACATGTTTGGTGTTTAATAACATGACCACCACTGAGAAGACCATTTAAAGTCATTTATTGAGGAGCTTCGCTCGGTCCGAACACGAGCTAACTCCAGCTAACTCCAGCTAAGTCAAGCTAACTCCAGCTAACTCCAGCTAAGTCAAGAGTCGCTGGTGAGCCGCGCTCCTGCTTCCTGCCTCAGACGTGTTGACTGAAGGAGCTGGACGAGTGTCAGACAGTATTAGTTGTGCCAAATGCATCCACTGCAGCGCAGGAACCGTGTCGCTGCTTGGAACTGACTCCGGTGAAACGAACTGTACGGACGATGCAGACCATGCATGCTTCCACTCAGTCTGCGCTCGGGGCTCATTTTAGACGTCGTTCAGCATCTCTTTGATGTACAGAAGTATGTTTATTTATTCATGTATTTATTGATTTCTATTAATGTGCGTCTATTTTGGCACAATTTATTTATTAAAGAGGCATTAACAGTTTTGTTTTAGTTTTGGAAAATGCTTTGGATATGAACTAAATTGCAATTTGTCATTATTGTTGTTTTTGTTGTGACATTTTAGGCGCCCTGAGAAGACGTATGTCCCGAGCACCAGTGCTCATTAACATGACACCAGTCACGATACACTGTAGTATATTTTGCTGTGTGCTGGTCTGTGTCAGCTCTGTATTGCTGTCTGCTCTCTGCAGTGAGGGACTCTCAGCAGGATTCTTCTATTTATTGTCATCGTGCTGAATGCAGATAATCAGAAAAGTTTATGACATCATCAACCTTGTCATCACCAAGCGATGTTTACACTAACTGTTTAAAAAGAGGCTACATCCCTGAGGATTCTGTGGAACTCCATACAGACAAAACAACTGAATGTAAAATACAACTTTGATCAGATCTGAGCAGAAATCAGCTTCACAAGATTTCTGCTGAATGGGTTGAAAGTGCATGTGACGTGCACATCCTACTAATACAAAAACTGGAAGAATACATATTAATATTTAAGAAATTTGACATAATACAACATTTTACCCATTTTGTCACAAACCTGGCATATTTGCTTTTCAACTTGGTGCAGCCAAAGTGAAAGAGGACGCGACATCAACGGGGAACTTTTTGCTCTTTGCTTATTGTAACGATATTATTTGAAGTCCGACTCTTCTTCATTTCTCTGATAGAGACTCAAAAAACAAACCTCCGACTCTTCTCTGCTGTCTGTGTTGTTGTAGCATGCTCTGCTTACATGCAGGCGTTCCCCTTAATCTGTCACTGTTACTGATGATGTCACTTCCTGTTACTGCGCATGACAATATCTCAACAACTGTTTATTGTAGCGGAGTGAAATCTGTTTTGCAATACATCATTAGTTTTTTGGTTTTTTCAAACAATGCATTCAGAATACTTACAAAAATTTGATGACATGGGCACTTTAAGTGTCACATGTTAAAATGTCAATGTATACAAAACAAAAGACACTAAATGTCTGCTGTTTTGGTTTATAGTTTAACTCGTTGTTAAAATCAATTTAATGTTCATTTAAGAAGTCCAAAACTCTCAAAGTAGCAATAAAAGATGCTAAGCTCTGGTCATAGGTGTCACAGAAATTGTATTTAGTTTTGGTTTGTAGACTTAATGAGTTGCCACTTACCAGGTTTCTAAAGGATACTATAGATGCTATAAAAACCAACAGAAACACAAAGCCAAGCCACCAAACAAAAACAGTTATTCAGATATAACCCTAAAAGGTTTGACAAACTGAGCTATTGGATAAACTTGATGATTTTGGCTCTCCTGTAATTCAAAAAATTACTTTATTGTGAAAAATCAGTCAAAACTCACAGAATGTTGACTCATTTGGGGTTGATACCTAAGTTCAGTGTTACGGCCACATTTCCTGTCTTCAAAGAATATGTTAGAAAATACATTTTGCACCAAAATGAAAACTCTTTCTGAAAGTAAAAACATAATTTGATAGGATGGTCAGTATTTTTGTTGCTGAGGTTCCAAAGGATCCACAGGTCAGTTTACATATCATGAGCTCTCATGCAATCATTCCTTCTCTGCAAACAACCAAGCTTTCTACAGCGCATCATCTCAGTTCATGTTGGAACTTTCTATACCTGTCAGCAGTTTCCTGTCATCTGTCTTCATTTTGTTACAACCCTTGTACAGCACAACTTTAAGTAAACAGTAAAATAAATACTGACAGTTTACTGAAAACGTTGAAACCAACAGATTCTGTGTGCTCTTTTAGTGTCACTGTAATGTTTTTGTTCATTTACTTATTTAATTTTACACGATTTTACCAAATGACTGGAACAACCACACACTCTCCAATTGCCAAAACAAAACAATGCTAATCCATCCTTCATTGTCTTTTCAGGCACAAAGCAAGAAGCATTTGTTCACGTCATGGCCAGGGTCCTCATTTATGAAGTGTATGCACAAAAAGTGTGCACGCACCAGGTTTCATGCACACGTCCAGGTGCATCAACCTGACCAGCTGTGAGAATGTGCTTACCGCCTCCATGGTATCAAAATACTGGTGCAACACTGACATTCACCTAAACGCACTGAAATATGATCTCTGAACTCAGATGCATTTAAACACCATTTTTAAAGAGATTTTTTTTAGATTATTTAAATCTGAACGAGGTTTCTTAAATTATGGTCAAATGAAGATGTAAGCACGTCAGTGAGTGCACGTCTGCGAGGAGCACAGGCAGATGAGGAGCATAAGATGTGGTTGAACTGTGTGAGGGGCAACGTCATGCTCACTAAACAGAAAACGATGTCACATCAGAAAATTAATTCACCACTCACTTTTGATGATTCCTCAGATCAACAAGGTACAGACAATGACATGTCCATAAAAGCTGCAATTAGTTGTGTCATTGTGGAGCACTGACAGCTGTGGAGCTGCTGAGAGACATCACTAATTGAATTGGGAGGCAGTTTGCTTTGGGAATCACCAATCAATAACTGATCAATACTAATCAGTTACTTCTCAGCTGTCTCTGAGTCATGCCATGCCAGTTGGATGAGAATCAATTCAGTTCAGTTTATTTATAAAGCGCCAAATCACAACAAAGTTGTCTCAGGGCACTTTACAGAAACATTCACATAAAAGCCAATTAGTAAAGTTCTCTATCTAAGGAATCCAGCAGACAAGTTGAATCTTGGCTTCGTTGCAGTCTCCCATCCTGAGCAAGCACAGTGGAGACAGTGGAAAGAAAAACTCCATTTGAACAGGAAGAAACCTCCAGCAGAACCAGCTCAGGACAAGAGGCCATCTGCTTTGACCGGCTGATTGAGAGGACAGGAAGGAGAGACAGACGAACATAGAATGGTAGGTCCAGGTCCAGGTATAGGTCCAGGTATAGGTCCAGGTATAGGTCCAGGTCCAGGTATAGGTCCAGGTCCAGGTATAGGTCCAGGTGTATCTGAAAGACAAAAAGAACACATGTTAAGGATAGAAAAAATAATTACAAATACGAAACAGTTTGAGCAGAGTAAGTAAAGACAGCAGCAGAGTGAAAAGTGTGGTCAGTTTGTCCTCCAGCAGTGTAAGCCTATAGCAGCATAACTAAGGGACAGCTCAGGAAACCCAAGCTGACCCTAACTATAGGATTTAGCAAAAAGGAAAGTCTTAAGTCTAGTTTTAAAACTGGACAATGTGTCAGCCTCACGGACAGAGATTGGAAGTTGGTTCCACAAGAGAGGAGCCTGATAACTGAAAGATCTGCCTCCCATTCTGTTTTTGTAAATTCTAGGAACCACAAGTAAACCTGCAGTCTGAGAGCGAAGTGCTCTGTTAGGAAAATATGGAACAATAAGATCTGTAATATAAGATGGAGCTAGGTTGTTGAGAGCTTTGTAGGTTAGAAGTAAGATTTTGAATTCTATTCTGGATTTGACAGGGAGCCAATGGAGATAAACTAAAACTGGAGAGATATGATCTCTCCCAGTAACTCCACTTAAGACTCTGGCAGCAGCATTTTGGATCAACTGAAGACGTTTTAAAGAAGTATTTGGACACCCAGATAATAAACCATTGCAATAGTCCAGTCTAGACGTGACAAATGCATGAACCAGTTTTTCTGCATCATTTTTAGATCAGATGTTTCTAATGTTAGTGATATTACGCAGGTGGAGGAAGGAGGTTCTAGTAACGTTTTTAATGTGGGAGATAAAAGACGTGTCCTGACC